ATTTAAAAACAGTTCATCTTTGCCATAGTAGTTAGAAGAGATAAAAACAGTTAAAGCTGTTTATTACATATGTCCACTGGCTGATTCGGCCTCCTGCCACTAACCTGTATTAAATGACTAGAACATGATTATATGGTTGTTAAGCTGTTGAGTTCTGTGCTGTGGTCACGCCCGTGCTATCTGTTAGTGCTGCTGAGCTCAATATTTATACGCTTCAACCACCTTCGAGGATTGTTGGGTTGAGTTTCTTGTTTTTGGGGATCAGGAGCTAGAATGTTTAGGAGCTCCTGTCTTAGAACAAAGTGATGGATTCAGTGTTCAGAACCTGCACTTATGTGAAAGCACCTGCACAGAAATGGCAAAATGCTTCTTGAGTAAAAGTAAATAAATGTAGGACAAAGAACGTAGCGAAAATATTACACTTAAAGTCCTGGTTTGGTCCCTCTGACAGATTATTATTATATCTGACATGAGTCATTCAGTAATGCTGAAGTGTGAGTGTATCTGCAGCATGTTACTGTTGTCGTTGCTGCAGGAGAAGCTGGTTGAAACTACTTTATGTACAGTTTTATATACAAGGACAGCAGATAAGGGGGTCACCAGATAATTAACAAGAGAGAAAAGAAGAAAAAAAAGTTCTGATACTAAACCAGTTTTTTTTTTTCTTAGATTTTTGCTAGGGATGTGTGGATATTAGCTTTTTTTTTGCCAATATCCGATATGCTGATACCGTCTAACTCTCAATTTCTGATTCCAATATCAACCGATTCCGATATATGTTTGTTGCTGCAGCCACACTTGTTTACACGCTTCACAACGCGGTTTGATGTTGACAGTTATTACATTTTTATGCCAGTATCAGGAATTAGGGATGTCCGATAATATCAACCTAATTTTGGATCATTTGGACATTTACTGAAATTAAATCAGGACAATTTTAGAAGGAAAAATCAATATTTTGTGGGGCTGATAACAACCTGGAGACATTTAATTGTGTGAACCAACTACACACAAAAGCCACAAGTGTTGGAAACCTGTGTTTTAATCTTGAACAATGTGTTGTACTTTTCACACGATGGATAATTCTTATGTTATCCATCGTCTGAAATCTCCGTCTTAGCTGTTGTAATGGAGTAGAAAGTACAATATTTGCCCCTGGAATGTAAGATTACAAGCATACAGCAGCATAAAATGGAAATACTCAAGAAGTAAGTGGAAGTACCTCACAATTGCAGTACAATGCTTGAGTAAAAGTTCAGTTACTTTCCACATAACTCCTGAAATACGTCTTTAGCTGCTCGCTGCTCCACTGGTTGGTGCTGGAAGGTCAGTTTACATCCGTATGCTGCTGCAGCTAAACCAACATCATAGGATTAGTCAGGTAAAAAGAAAAACATTCTGGGCCGTAAAATCAGACTCTGCACGGCCGAGGTCTGCACAGAGGGTGATAATTACCTGGAGGACAGCGCCTCAGAGTGACGTCTTTCCCATGCAAGTAGTCATGTGAGCTGTTGTTTGTCTAAGTACTTAAAACATGAACAACATTAGTTTGAGAGCTTTCTTGCTTCCAACGGTAAGCTACAAGTCCTGCATTCATGTGCATCACCTCCTTGACCTTCTGTTGAACGACGCCCTGTATACCAAAGGTGTGACCTCACCAGGTAATGATTTTGTTCTGTGGCTCAGCCCCCAACAGGTTTCCTTCTGGTGTTCGATAGAGCGCCTCATTAAGGTGTTTGGTTTTCCAACTGGACGCACTGCAGCCTGTTATTGAGCTGGTATTGTCTTAGAACTGGGCAACAGATGTGTTATTAAAGGCAGCAATTTGAAGTCATTACACTAAATGTCCGATTTAGCAAAGACCTCACAAAAAGTTGTGTCGGTGCATAGTTCTTGCTCTGTAAATGGGGAATAAAGTGGCTTGGACAGATCCAGACAACACAACCGGCAACAAGGGACGATCATATTCAACAGCCCGATGCACACTTTTTAAAGTTTAGAGGAAATTCTGAGGGTTTGTTAAACCTATTGTCTTTTTTCCAGTCGAGGGTTTTTGTGCAGCAGCATCTTGTAGCGCGGTCGTAAAAGACGGCAAGCATCTGGTTTTAGCACCACCGGACTCTTTGCTCATGGACACGTCATGGGGGGTCTGAGCCCAGCTGTGTGATTCTCATGCCCAGTAAAAACAACCCAAACATCACCACACAATAACTCAATACACAGCCATTCATGTCTAAACTGCTGGCAACAAAGTAAGTGAAAATGTCCGAATTGGGTCCAATTAGCCGTTTTCCCTCCTCGGTGTCATGTGACTCATTAGTGTTACGAGGTCTCAGGTGTGAATGGGGAGCAGGTGTGTTGAATTTGGTCTCTCACCTTTGTTGCCAGCGGTTTAAACATTCATGGCTATGTACTGAGTTACTTTGAGGGGACAGTAAGCTTACACTGACTACTTTACATTTTTAGTCATTTCTTCCGTCTCACTGTTGTGACACTGTACCTCTCACTACTCTGTTGTTGGATGTTGTGTATGTTTGCTTGCTTTTCGATCACGTGATGATAAATAGTTTGTTCGTCTTTAGATATAGAGACATTTGATTCCATATCTGTTAAGTCCATTAATTTTCGGGGGCGAGGCTCCTAAACAAGCACCGACATCAGGGGCATGTTTGTTTGGCTGTCGAGTTCAAACATCCAACTTTCTCAGGAGTGACTCGCTCCACCTTTAAGCTGAATTATTCCACTTCGCACCACTTAAAGGTCAAACATGACAACAGATGAAATATTTATCCAAAGTGCTGAAGAAAAAAAACCGGCTGAGACAGGTGTTTAACACTTATCGTCTTTATCCCGATTTACAAAAAAAGATAAAGTCATGATGATGTTACATGAAAAATAATCATACTTGATGACTAAAATGAATGATGAAAAAGCATATAGTTTGTATATTGGCTTATGTTTCTGTGAAATTCATAAAATGGCCATTTGAATAAAAAGATTTAAACAGACAATACATTAAAGTGACTAAAAATTAGGGACACAAGCTCTCCTAAAAAAAAAATAAAAAATTTTAAAAATCAATGCCGCTGCAAACTGAACATAGTGAACTTATGCAACGAATCAGTTTGTATAATTATCCCCGTGATGTGATTCATGTGGAAGGTTTGCTAGGGAATCTATGTACAGTATTTGCATGCATGTACCCACCTCTCAATTCAATTATTTTCCAGATGAGAAAAACATGGGCTGACTTTTACAGTAGCTTCTCAACTACTTACATTAGGCCAATAAGTTAATCATGGACTAAAACTGCGAGGCAAAAATTTAAAAAAACAAACAGCTAAAACGTGGCTGTGTAAAAGAGGACCTGCAGCCGGTGACGACGTCCTACTCGGCGTCGACGACCATGACGTGTATGAAGAGTCCAGCTGAGGGCAGAAGGTCTCCGTTCTTGTTGAGCAGAGGAACGTGTCTGTATCCTGCGTGGGAACACAAAGTGGTTGCAGTGAGTGATCAGAAAAGAGGGAGAATATGAACAGCTCTTTGTGCAGCATGTGAATCGAGTCCTCTATGCTGCTGCACCAGAGAAGAGATCGCTCCAGTCTCTGTTCATTTATAAAGTCTGAAAACAAAAGGCGAGCAGTGGTTTTTACATCATTGGGCTGCAGTGATAAATTCAGCAGATATCCACTGCCGGCTGACGGACTCACCCATTTTCTTTTTTTATGTTATTTTTTGCTCTTTTTGCCTTTATTTGATAGTGCAGTCAAGAGAGAGAGAGAGACAGGAAAGTGGGGAAAAGAATGGGAGAAGGACCATGAGTGGGATTGGAACTCATGACCTCCACGTCGGGGGATTATAGCCCCTGTACATGGGACGCCAGCTCAACCAGGTGAGCTATAGCGGCGCCCGAACTCACCCAGTTTTAAGCTGCTGAGAGGAAGCGTGTACTGTCCAACGAACTCATTATCAGACGCGGAGTCGTGGTCTTCGATCACAAAGCGGACGAGTGCGAGCTCTGGCACGTAGATGTCAAACTGGAAGTTCTCGTTCCACTCGGGGTTAAAACCTTAAACAGAAAAGTAGAAATATGGGGTCAGTAGCTTTATATATCACAAGCATTATGCATCATTAAAGGCTCCATTTCAGCAGACTAATTAAAGTCCTATATGTTGTCAGGATGTGTCTTTCCAGTTTGAGCTCAAAAGTGTTCACTTCACCATGACTGTCCAGCTCCTGGTTTCTGCCCTTTTCTGAAGCGGCTGTTTCAGGTAATAGTTAACTGTGGCGAATAGTTAATAGCAGTTTAGCAGTAACAGTTTTCAGTCAGCATTCCTCTTTAACCTCACTGGCAGTAAAAGTTTTTTTTTTTTCTACTCTAACAACCTGCTCTTCTTGACTGAAGTAGGCAATCGGACCATTTCACGCAAAAGAAAAGTCAACTGAAGTGTGAAATGCCTTTTTGTTGTGGGAACACACTAATGAAGTAAACCTGAGTTAAAGTTAATCACCACCCATTAGCTTCAACTGGGGTTTTAGGTTTTGTTGAGCCAGCTCATGCAAAGGAAGTCAGGCTATGTTGAACTTGCGTCAAAGTGCACCCCTCTGAAGTCCCGCCAAAGATTAAATATTAATCTGATTTTAGATGAGTGGAAAGTCCACTACGACACTGATATTAAAACAAATGTGTTGCACCAACTATGTTTGGCTAATAGGAAATTAGGAGACCCCCCCTCTAGAAGTACAAAAGTGATCAAGAAGCACACATATAAAGTGTTAAGACAGAAGGTACCGTTGTTATCAATAGGGTTGGTCTCTTTCTTAGCAACATCCGCCGGCACTCCGTGGACCTCCACTTTAACCAGCGGGTCCACGATGGAGGATTTCTTCTTGTTCACTTTGGGGAGCTGCTGGGCCGATATGACCTGGTGACGGGCGGAGATGACTTTCAATGACTCCACATCGAACACTTGGGAGTAATTCTAGTGTTTGTCTCGACGGTGAAAAGCTCACCATGATATGTAGCGTCTTGTGCTTCAGCCAGTCTCCTCGGGTCAGGGTGATGGGGTCAAACTCGGTGGCTGCGTCCCTCATGAAGGCCGGTTTCAGGACGTAGCCGCTCTTCCCGTTCACCAGGAATCTGCCCTGGTTCACATCCATATCGTCGCAGGTCGTCTGGAAGTTTAAGGCCACTGAAACGGAATGAATGCAGGGGATGTGGTGAAATAAATGCAAGCATGTATTAGTTAAACCTCAAGACGTTCTCTTGGTGATTACTCATTTATGTACCGATTTGGCAGCCAGCGTTCCACAGAGGCACCGGGTCGTAGTTTGAGGAGTCGGTCCTTTTGCCTGCTGGATAGATGCGGCTCAGTTTTTCCACATTATGGCGGACGTAGGCGTTCGCTGCAGAAAACATAGTGAGAATAGTTATTGATTGTCCACCTTCACATGATAACGCATCATTTATGTTATTTATCCAGACGTAACTACAGCATAAACACTGTAAGCACTTCTTCTTTCTTACCGGACTCTTCTGCCAACTTCATGGCCTTAGCCTCTTTGAAGGACGACATCTCGTAGAAGCTCAGGTTTTTCCTGGCGTCCTCGAAGCCGTGGAAGTGAACGCTCTTGCAGTAGATCACCATGTCGGACAGCTCCTTCGCTAGTTTCAGCTTTTTCTTTTACACATTAAGCAGAATTTAAAGGTGAGTTAAAAACGGCGCACCTGCCACAGTGTGAATGTGTGGATCCTTCCTTGACGCCTCGCCCACCTTTTTCTTCTCCTTCTGCTCGACCTCAGCTTCAGCCTCGTCCTCGTCGTTCGACTCCTCCTCCTCTGTCACGTCAGTGTCTTCGTTTGCTTCTGCCTCGGAAGCAAAGGAGGCCTCCAGCTTGTTTAATCGCTTCCCTTTAATCAGGAACTTCCCCTTCAGATCCTGGAGGTACATAAATAGAAATATGCATAACACTGTGTGACTGATATCTTCTCCATCTTCCATCACGGTTGTTGAGTCAGCTGAGTGGACACCAACCTCAGGAGACGGGAAGTCTGTGGGCATGCCGTCGCCGAGGGGAGTGGTGACGAGAGCGCTGCCCAGGATGGAGCTCATGTGATGGGCCATGACCGCCTGCTGCTCCACACAGCAGTGGTTCTCCAAGGATAGGATGACCGGATAGTCGGACGTCTGAGGACAACCAGGGAAAAAAACACAGAAGACAGTTACTGAAAGCTGTCCAATAGTATACTGGCTACTACTGGGTGTTGTGCTGCTGGACACACCTTAAAGGCATACTCCTTGATGGCTTTGATCACATCTTTGAAGAGGATCCTAGAGGTGAGCGTGTAGCCGTGGTAGATCAGTGGCTCGCCATCTGATCCGTCCCAGCAGTCCAGCTCCACACAGCGGCAGCCCTTCAGCAGAGCCCTGAGAGCCACAACCAGCATTAGAATTAATCTGCACTAACAAACAGCACCGTGGAGCAGCCAGAAGGGCCTGAGGAATAAAAGCGTGGGCACTGTGGTAAAGATGGACACAATAAACAGTAACCCGTTCATGTAAGCACCAAGGTTGTGATCAATTTGTCTCAGTGCATCAAAACTTGACAGATTGCTGAACACTGAATCAGCGTAAACCACATATAATACACTAACACTAACTAAACAAGAAGTTTGGAATTATTTTCTCAAACATCTGACTTATTTCAAGCAACAGTTTTTACTTGTGATTCAGGACCTGTCTTGGTCACTTCACATAACGTCCACTGTGAGGAAGGTCAGACTCTTCTATCTCAGACGCCTGAGAGGAACTTCTACACCTGCACCACTGAGAGCATCCTGCAGGGAGCATCACCACCTGGATGGGCAGCTGCACCCAGCAGGACTTCTTGGTCCTGAGGAGGGACTATCAGATCCACCGTTCCCAACCTGCAGGACATCTACACCCAACGATGCAGGTCAAGGTCTGTGAAGATCCTGTGAAGATCCTGAAGCATCCTGGAAACTCTCTTTTCTACCTGCTGCCGTCAGGGCTGACGCTATCGCTGCATAAAGACTGTAACTGAGAGAATGAGGAAGAGTTTCTTCCCTCAGGCCGACCGTTTGCTCAACTCTAAGCTTTAAAACCAGACTGTGCAATACACACATGCACCTCATGTATTACAACAGTGTTCCTATTTGCTTTTTTTGTTTGATTTTTTAAGTGTTTGTCTATGTATATATACCTAAAGTATATATACTTCTTGAACTCTTATTTTTACTTTTTTTTTTTTTTTTAATTTCTCTATTTTTCTTTTTATTGAAACTGGACGCTGGTACAAAACCCATTTCACCGCACACTGTACCGTGTATAAATGTGTGTGTGACAAATAAAGCTTATCTTGAAATCTCTTAGTCTTGATTCAACAACAAGACACATCAAATTACTTCTGCATGCCTGCATGAAACTATCTAACAAATAGATTTGCAACTAATGACCATTTTATTGTCAACTTGTGTTGATTGTTTTCTCAGTAAATCGATTCGCTGTCAGATCTATAAAATGTCAGAAAGTGTTGATGAGTGCTTTCCAAAGCCTGAGGTGTCGTTCTCCAAAGCCTTGTTTTATCCACACCTCAAAGTTGTTCAAGTTTAGTCAGAGTGGAAGAAGGTAACTATAAAATATTCCATTTTAAAAGCTGGAATCAAAGGATTTTGATTCTTTAACTTAACAAAATGACTCCGATTAATGGATTATCAACACAGCCCGTGACTCATTTAATCGCTTGTATGCTGCGGCTCTACTTTCAGTATTAAGAGCACTTCCTTTGCTCTGTCGTGCTTTTGTCTGCCTGTTTCTGTGAGTGGTTTGCTCTTGACTCAGTGAGTTTCTGCTTATTCTGGTTGTAAAACTGTTTAGTTTTCTTTCCCAAAGCACACTTGAAAAAACATCACCTTTCTCTAAAGTCTCCACGCCTGGGACGGAGATACAATCAAAGACCAAAAACTAGATAAACATCTGCAGACTGTAGTGATTTTATCTGCTGTAGCGGCTAAAACGATTCAAGGACAAACACTGGAAGGCCGGATGAGAACGGTTACCTGACGTAAGCCTCTGTGCTGCTGGGCCCTTTGAGCTGATCCTCCATGAGGTAGGTGTTGTGCGAGGAGGAGATGAAGTAGTGGCTGAGGGGCTGCCTCATGTCCTGGTAAATCTCGCTGTGCTCCGGGTCGAGGATCATGGCCTCTGGGTGGTGCAGGTACATGAGGAAGCCATCTTTGGACAGCAGCTTCTTCTGCTTGGCTGGAAGAAGCACAAAGACAAAGCAGATGATGTGTCGGTGGTGCATCAGAACAGACTAAGTGTGGATCTTATAATAAAGACCCCTCTGATGAAAACTAGGTTGTCTACCTTGCTAATATGTCCACATGGTGTTGTTTATATACTGGCAGACATGAATTTGCAATGTACTAAAGACCTCCAGGGTTTCATATGTAACAAACCAAAGCATCCGACTCTCTCGACCTGCTGGGTGGCACTTTATGGATTATTATTCTTCTAATAGGTGAGTAATTGTCTGATGACTTTATCAAATGAATCCTATTTAAATTGTCTCAGAGAAGTCAGCAGCTGTAGTGAATCACTCATGAGAGGCCATGAAGATAAAGACTTTGTCACATTTTCAGAAGACTTATAATTAATCTATGAAAAAGGAGAAATGCATGAATGTTTTTTTGTGACAAAGACGCATGAGTTTCAATCATTCCTTCATAGAAAATTACAATCTTTTGTTCAAGACGGTACATATGAGCAACTTTTAGGCAGGGGGAGATTATTTTAACGGAAACTATATGTGTAGCTTTAATGCACTGAGATGTTATTAGAGGTTTATTTAATGCCCTGAGAGGGACTTTAAGATGTCCTGATCTGATGTCCGTTCTTATTCCTTCACACTGGAGACCTCGATGAAACATCCTGCTTGAAAAGACTGGACATGAATGAAGTGAATGGGGCTTGTTTTCTGCTCTCTTTCACTCAAATGGGAGTAAAAGAGGCCAAGAGGCTCGGTTAACCCGACCTAACTTGTGCTTAGTTGTCCAATATGTGTGTAAAAATTTTAAAGTAATACATCCAGATATAGACCTTTATCTCTGCATCTGTTTTAAATTAATTTTATGGATTAATATGAATAAGCTCTAGTGGCCATAATAAAGGTCTCTCTGACTGATATCGGGCTCGAAAACTGTTAAAAACGTGTGATTAGAAGTTATTCCCTGCAGCCGAATTGTAATTCACAGCAGCAACAGACACACTTTTGTTTGGGCGACACTTTAATCTAATTACTCACCAGTGCAGCACACAGGCATTAATCTGTGTCTAGTTCACAGAGTAGCAACCTGAGCTCTCTAGGTGACATGAAATTCCTTTATTTTATTTTATTTTAAGAATTTTTAAAACCTGAGTGACACAGACGAAAGACGAGATCAGCTTTTTGTGCCCGTTAGGTCCCAGAAAATAAAACTTGTATTACTCTGTGGGCCGATGCTCATTCAGTTTTTTATTATGACATCAAAAAATCTAATCATTAGTATTAAAATGATATCAAATGGATTCTTGAGGGTCATTCTTAAATGTTAAAAACTAACAATGTTTAAAAACTGAAAGAAACATGACATCTTCATGAAAAGAAAGGAACTGTGGGCCGCTGCACCGCCACACTAAGGAGCAAAGACCTGAAACCGAACCGCGTTACTTCCTTTAACGTCACTAACCGTTTTCATCCGGCTCGAACTTCTCGATGATCCTGTGTGCATCGGCCAGCCCGGCTTTCTCTCTCTGCTCTTTCATCAGGAAGTCCACCAGGTTCTCAGGGCTCATGTAGCCGGTGGTTTTGGCGTATTCCCCGTAGATCACGTCGATTTCCTCCCGATGGGTCAACAGGTCGTAAAAATGTTCAATCTCTTCTCCTGCCAGGTATCCCGAATTTGACTTGTCGCATTTCTGTAACGTGGAACACGAAGGTTAATTCCAAAGTTCTTAAGTAGACGTCTTAAGAACAAATCTGTCTAGACAAACAACCGAAACACACACATACAGGAAACAAAACGGCACAAAACAATTAATGCTCAGATGTGTAACCTAATGGCCAAATTTAAGACAGTGCAAGTTTTTGTTTACCACACTCTGCTTGCACCCAAATGGAGAAGCTTATAACAGAAGTCTCAGGCCAGAATGCAGTGGGGACGGGATGGATTTCAATCCTTAATTCAACACAGCATTTATAACAAAATGTCAGGTGTCCACTGATTCTAGAGCTCAAGCTTTGGTCATTTTGGACCACTTTTGAATTGCTCTGGAGTCATTTTGGAAAAGTCTTGAGTCATTTTAGACATTGTTTTTTAGACAGAAGACACATTTTTGGAAAAGCTTCAAGACCTCCTGGACACATTTTGAATAGTTTCAGGCACATTTGAGGTAATTTCAGACAGAGGGAACTCTAAAAAGTGCATTCTGGGTAAACTCCCCTGGCCCACATCAGCATGTGTGATGGAACAAGCCCTAGGCAATGAAAGGACCACCAACATTTAACACCAGCTGATCATCTAGTAGACATGATTCACTCTGTGGCTACATAATTTTCTAATATGCTCATGTTTGAACACTTGTGGATGGATCTTCTGGTGGTGAGCTCTTCACTGGATGCTTCACTAAGGAGTAAACTAAATTCGATGCCTAAATCATTACAAGCAACGTTTCATAGCTTCGTAGGACATTTACACGTGATCTTCATCGCTAGTTGAGAAGCTCTGAGGGCATCACCTTGAAAAGCATTTCTGCATAGTCATCGTCCACTTCGATGTTGATCAGACGCAGGAAGTTCTTGACCTCCGACTCGCTCAGCTTGTCGTCTTTGTTCTTGTCTGCTTTCCTCAGGCAGCTCAAGATCCAGCTGTGAGGTTTGTCATGTAAGGAGCATTTTTATAATGATTTAAAATGAGCGGTTGTGACTCTCATATTTACTTCTGTTAGAACATTTACTATCCTGGTAAAAGTCTCGTTCAGATTAAAATCTCTTGCCATAGCTGAGGACCAACATCTACTGTTTCAGCCGAGTTCTAAATCCGTCTCGGGTGAATTACTGTCAATTGGTCACGCTCATGGTGTAGCTTTCGGGGTCACACATAAGGATACTGCTCTGTCTTCTGCTGGCGGTTCATGTTGTTGATGTTGGATATCACCTTCTGCAGACTCTTCACCCACTGCTTGGCCTCCTCCTCCGAGCTGGCGATCAGGTCCAGGTTCTTGCGGCGGCCCTTGAACATGATGGAGAAGCAGCGGCCCTCCACCTGCTCCTCCGTGTTCTTCTTCAGACTCTCCGACTGTCGGCCCATCAGCACCTCCGCGATGTCATAAAGGGAAACTGAGGAGAGAGGGGGGGAACGCCGCTAATGCTTGTTCACAACATTTATGGATTTTACCAACAGTATTCTACTTAGAAATGTAAAATCCTGATTTAAAAAAAAAAATCAAAAGTAATGTCATGATTTTAATTTTTCTGTTTTTTTTTTCTTCTTTAATGGGAGGGTATGGATACGGTAGAGGACGACTGTAACCTGCTGCTTCCCCTTCGTGTTACTGAAGTCACTCCTGAGCAGAGATGTTGGATGCAGCTGACAGGGTTGTATGTTAGCACACATGGCGACATCAATAAATACGTCCCCACACTGCAGTTATCAGCCAGCATGAGAACAGTTTATGGGTGTAATCCCACTATAAAAAAATCACTATCTCCACTAACACACCCACTAAACACATCACTGCTATCATGAGCAGGTGTGTGTCATTACACAAAGGACCTTCAGACAGAATTTTACAGCCCTGCGATCACTTTTATAATCCACTAAGGGAAAGATCTGTCTGACCAGAGAGAAGATATCAAACATGATATCAGAGGTGTGTCAGCCGTGGAGACACGGTTGTGTTCGCCGTTGCTAAGTAATTAATCAACATTTAAAGTAAAGGAGACTTGACCAGACGGATGTGTGTGTGGGTTTTGATCGTCTCACACACATTCAGGCGGGATGCTGGGATGGCACTCACAGGTTTGACTCGACTTGAAGGTTTTCTTGGATTCGCGCCACATGGTCTTGCAGTCCTCCTGGAGGCGGAAGTAGCGAGTTTTCTTCCATGACGAGGAGCGGACTTTCAGGAGGTCTCCCCCCTTCAGGAGGAACTGGAGGTCCGCATCTCCCTCCAAACCTGACAAAACGGGGCACAGAGAGGAAAAACTCAACATTGTAAGCAGCACTCAAGACAATCCAACAGGCTTGAAATCCATTTCCATATGTCAGCTAATTCAAACCTGCAGCTCTCCTTAACCTGCCTTTATCTCATCGGAAAACTGCACGAAAAGCTCAAAGTCAAGCAAGAAACTAAGGCAGCCTGATTAAAAGCCCTTTATCACACAGTTTTACGGCACTACACAGATCTACGCCTGTCTGACCTCTGCTTCCCTCTGCCACAAGATTTTGTTGAAACAACTGCAGTGCAGCCTACCTAGGAGCTTCACATTCTTTTGTATCACCTTCTGGCTGCTGGCATAGCGGAGTAACTCCTGAGATCTGCTGAGTTCAGGCTGTCTTTGTAAGCATGACATGGTTCTCTCAAGTGCTACTGAGCTGTGTTCACAAGGCGTTGCGAGCGGGCAGTGAGTGGAAGGGCGTGTACTAACCCCATTCAAAGTTCACTTTACATCTCTGTCAGGACTCCCTTCAGGCAGTCAGCTGACCGACTACGACTAGAGGAGATTCAAAACTTCCGTCTGTCTCATGCTGTTTGTATATTGAGGTCATTGCAAAGGCTGCACTGTGAGAAAGGAACATTTTTTAACAAAATTCTTTTTTTTGAACAACATACTGGTGTTTTGCAGACTTTCCCTGCTTTGTTAAATTACAGTTAATATCTAGTAAAATCACAGAAAAAAATATTAACCTACATATTTATTGTAAAAAAAAAAAAAAGCCAAAACTGTAAATAAGACTTATGTCCAAATAAGTCTATATTTGTACAAATGTTTTTGTTTGTTTGTTTGTTTTCCAATGCTTGACTGTAAAATTATGTCATTTTTGTTTGTTTTTTTATTTACATTTTTTTAATTGGATTTAAATCAGTAGAAATATTGCTATTTTACAGATATTCAGTGCTACTTGAAAGAAAAATGATGTGTGTTAAATAATTAATTTAAAAAAAAGACTAATCAATAATAAAGATTTCCTGTTTTGTTAAATCACAGTTAATATCCAGCAACCACAGAAAAATATTAACTTACACTTTGACCAGAAAAAAGGCCAAAACTGTAAATAATGTCGACGTAAAAAATAAATAAATAAAATAAAAATCAACCTGTATTTCCATGAATGGCAGTGTTAGACTGTAAATTTACAGTTTTAATTACTGTATTTAAATCAGCAAAAAAAATCTATTATTTTACAGATTTTTGCCATTAAATGAAAGAAAAATGATGCAGTAAAATCAACAATATAAATGTGTTATTGTACATGTTGACTGTGAAAAAAACAAAAGAAACAAAAATAACACAGGCAAAAAGTAAATAATTTTTAAATCAAAAATCTGTATTTCTAAAATTAGTAATTTATTCTTTCATTCCACCACAAAATCACACGATTTCACTGTATTTAAATGAGGTAAAATATTCTTATTTTACAAATATTTGCTGTTACTTTCCACTGTTTACAGTTTACCACTGTTTTTGAAGACAGAACTTTTTTTTTTTTTTTTTTTTTTAAAGCAACAAAATACCCCAAATACCTTCAAATGATAGCCAGGCATTAAAACTGGTTTTCACGATAGTTACCTTACTTCAAATGTAATTGTGCACAAATTCATATTAGCCAGTCGCAGAATCAGCTCACGAGGCATTTAGCATACAGCCAGAAAGGCAACAATAACTTTAAATGTGCCAAATTAAATTAAATAATGCAACATATTAACATAATAATATTTATTTGAGTGAAGTGAAACCTGTAATCAGCAGCTGTAGATTTAACATGAGAGCCTGCAGAGCTGTGTTGACCTGCGGCCTCCATCTAGTGGTGACACCGCGGTACTGCAGGGCGCTGTGATTTCACTCACCACCAGGCCTTCTCAATATTTAAAAAAAAAAAGCTTACAGATCTATGGCAACAACTCAATCAATGTACTGGATGCTGAGAAAAGAGAAATGTGGGCCTATTTAACGCCTCCTGATGCCGACATGCGCAGAACCACGGCTGTTTTTCGAGTCTGGTTAATGAAGCTGCTGCGGTTTGGTTGCTTTTGCAGCAAGGTGAAACTCAGCTGGATGAAAGGAGCCACACCTTTTGGCACAGCAGTCTAAAACTTCTGCAGGTGATAGTTAGTGAACATGAGCTCGATCAAGAGGCGAAAATATCCACGAATTGAGAAGAAAAGTAAGATGAATGGAGTTTAACAGCAAGAAATAACCGCAAAAAGCCCCGTTACGCACGTGTCATTCTGACCTGAGGGTTAGCAGCCAACTAAACACAATCCAAAACGCACTTTTATTTGCACAAACAAACTTAAAACGTGACCTACCGTTAGTTTTCCTTTCGACACCATTGGTTTCCATCTCCCCTGACTTTCTTGGTTTCTCTTTTTCCTCCCTTTTACGCAGCAGTTTCCTTCTCTTTTTTGCTTCACTTGATGCGCCGTTTCATGTAAAGTTGTTCCTTCTTTCCATGTGCGCTGCTGGGGCAACAAAACTTGCGGGTTTCGGGGGCCTGACTGAGTCTCAATCTGGGGAGCAACGCGACCAAACGCGGCGACACAGGTGGGATTCTCCCGGCAGTGTGATTGGTGTCAGCGCGCCGCGGGCTCCAACACCGGTTTGACAAGCTGCGCTGCTGATGTCACAACAGGGCAGGTTACACCTTTGCACCAGCTTTTGCCATCAAGTGCTGGATTGGTTTAGACTGATCTTGCAGCCAGTATTTAATGCACGTCTTAGTAATAGTTGGTCACCTTCTGTGCACCTGCAGCCACAGTGAAAAGAAAAACCCACACATGCCTTTCATAATCCTGTTGTCAGTACATAAGACTGAAACACTCCCAGGGCCTCACAGCCAATCCCACACCAACAGAACACTCTACATGGGTATTAACAGGGAGGGAAAGTTCATCTGAGAAGCACCAGTAGGAATCCAAGCAAGGTGGAAATTCATATCTATTATCAACTTCTGCTAAAGCCTTTGGCAATTGTATTTTTATGTGGACACCTGTTCCCCTTTTGAAAACAAGGTAAACACAGTTTACATGGATGAATAGCATAGCTGGATCCCTGCCAGTCCACATAGTTGATAACCAGTTGGAGCATATTGGTTCTACTGAATGGGGACAGATGAAGTTTTTACGTTCCTTTTCATGTGCAGCTTAGCCTTGGCAGGATAATAGCACTGCAATCACTGGTGCGTTGGGGCTCTTGTGGCTCTCAGCACTTCCCTTTCAAGGCCGGCTTACTCTCGGCGCACTGTCAGCATCAGGGTGAGCGAGCTTTAATGCAGCATCAGGGGGGAGAGCTTCCGGGCAAGGGCCGACCACTTCCAAAAAAGAATCCACGGTGTTCAGGGAAACAGGCAGGAAAACAGAGTGCAGCGTTTTCTGCACATCAGAGTGGGAACGTTTTCTTAAACGCACAAGAAACTGTCACTGCAGATGATTTCATTGTCACATTTCTTGCATTAAAGGCTCAAAGTACAATGTGTGATGAGGAACCAATCATATAAACTATTTAATCCAATAATTAACCTCAACAATAGCAGACACCATAAAAAGGAAGTTGCCTTCAGTTTCAAAACTGTGTAAACAGAAACTGTAGGAGACACGTTTCTAAAGTCTGTCGTTGCTGCATGTCTGCGCCTTTAAAACAAGCAAGAACAGGCCCTGCAGTTTCCTCACATACCATTGATGCCATCCATAGTTTTACTGCTTTTCCCCAAAACATCCTCGTGTCTGAGGAAACTGTTTCACTGACGTAACTGATGTAAGACCAGGGGTTAGCGAAGGACAGGCCTCCAGGCCACAGAGGAATGTACACAGAAAAGAATATTTTAAAAACGAAGGAAGGAGTCACCTTTGACTGTAATTGCTTTAAACTGGTTGTTTTATTTGGCACAGCACAGTGTTCATCTGGTTTTCTTGAAACATCTTCGCGAAGGTGTTCACTAGTATTAACATGACAACAATTTTCAACACGGAGATTGAAAGATTACAAAGCAGAGATACGAAAGCAGCCTACAGATAAGCCCAAAACATACAGTACAGTATGTTTAGTGTGTCCAGGACTTAAAATAACTACCAACACTGTGCTAAAGTACAATATTCAAGAGCTTTACACTTATCTTTGTTTAATTTTAGTCCCACCACATGTCAGAATTAAATTGTGTGCTTTTTACTGCACAACATTTTCAAAAATATGTAAGGAATTTCACATAAAAACCACATTAGATTCTAAAAAATGAGACACTTTTATACATTTAACCAACCAGCATTATTTTCTTTCTTTATTTTATTTTATTTTATTTTTTCCTGGTGTATCTTTAGAAAATACCACAAGAATAGCTGCAGGGATGGCGGTCATTTTTGACAATGTGTTATTTGTTATGAGCTAATTTATTTAAAATCTAGTTTTAAATACACAGCAGTCATGCAATCACATTAAAACTCGCAAACAAAGAAAAGAAAAAGTAAAATAAAAGACACAAAAGTCACATTACTTGGTCGACGCATTAGCGCCCTCTGCTGGGTGTACCACAAACATTTGTATATGTGTAGATGTAGAGATAAAATAACGGATATCCGTTTAGTAAATGATAAAATATGTCAACTAAATACCACAGTCAGTGAACTAATACTCACTGTTGTGGTTCAGTCTGGTGTGTTTCAAAGTTTTGGGGATTTTACATTTGCCACACTCAAGATGGCGGCCTCTTCGTTCCTCCTCCTGAGCGCGCACGTAACGCGCTGCGTCAGTCGCGCGTAAAGTTGTGTTGACAGGAGCGGCAGGAGTTGTCAGCGGAACAGCAGCAGCAGCCAGCTTCTCCGGAGCCGAATGGAGTAATTTACAAAAAAATACTACTGCAGACAGCGTCTCTGTTATTGTTGAGAAGCATTGATTACACCGTTCAGACAACCGCCATGGCAGACGACCAGTCCTCTCAGTCCTGGTCCATCGACAAGGATGACTATGAACTCAATGAGGTGATAGGTGAGTAGCTTAGCTTGCTAATGCTAGCTCTTAGCCTCGCCTGCCTGTACAGCGGTGTCGGCTGCTAACCGCTAGTAGCCACCTAGCATTGCATGTCTGTAGCCAACAAAAGTCAAGTTACAACTCGTAGCTACATTGCAGTAACGTTAACAGCTCAGCAGCTTCTCTCTGGCACGGTCAAATTAATTACCTGTTCTCATTAGCTGGAGAGCTAAAGCGAGTTTGCTTCCTAGCCAGCCAGCCTGAAGCTAAACGGCTAGCTAACGCAAGTTAGCATACAGTACGTGAAGATTCGTCCGCTGTTGGAGTGGGTGGTGCTCTTTAGCTGAAGGTGTGATACGGCTTACAGACAGCCATTCATACTTTACACTAGTCCAGATAACGTGACTGATGACTTTGAGCCAAAGACTTGGTCTGATGTGGTTTCTGAAGTTAGCTGCTCTTTTTATATCTGTTACACTTCGAATGAAACTGCTTATTACACTAACTGACTTTAGTCCCCAGTGTTGGAGGCCTGCAGTTAGTCAACTTTTGTAACTGAGATGTTCTTGAAAGAGCTAGTTGAGCTGTTATGTTGTGACTGCTGTGTCCTGACAGTCTAAGCTCTCCAACAGTGTGATGACTTGGCTCCCAATGTTGTTGTCCTCAGGGAGTGGAGCCACTGCAGTTGTCCAGGCAGCATACTGCAAGCCAAGGAAGGAGAAGGTGGCCATCAAACGCATCAACTTGGAAAAGTGTCAAACTAGCATGGATGAGCTCCTGGTAAGAAACCATCGCAAAGTGTGGGCCATTGTCCAGATATTTGTGTGTGTTGCTGTGAGTGGTGTGGGTTGGTGAGGTCAGATCAGTCAAGGACAGATCAAAAGCTTGATACCACAACAGCCACTTCATAGTAGAGCTGGATAAAGTCCATAAGACACATCATTAGGACACATTGAGTATGAATAAAGAAAATGTCATTGTGCAGCGATGTCTTTCCAAGTGTGTATTGAAATGTTGTGATGTCTTAACTTTGTTTTAATGTCAATGTTCAAATATGACGTAGTCAGCACTGACATGAGAGTAAAGTTAGTTTCCCATTCACAGCATGACTGGTACATGTCTCATTACAGCCACGTTTTCAGTTGTCATGACAACACTGATCAGCGGGCTCCTCACCAAAGAACAGCAGTTAAATATTAGAACCACGTCGGGAGATCGTTGGCATGTTATTTTCAAAAATGAGTTTGTCAGTTGTAGGAATCCTCTGAGTGTGGTATAAACTCCTGAATAATTTTATTCTGCATTGTTTTGCAATAGAAAAACACAAGTGGTGATGATTCCTTGAAGAACAAATCTCTCTGACTGACTGACAATTGACTGACTGAATGATTATTATTATTGTTGTATAAAATATATGTTATATTGATAAAAAAAAAAAAAAAGTGAGCTTTTACAATATTGAATTTCCCTTCTGGGATAAATAAAGTATTTTTCATTTCATTTTTTTCATTTCGTTCACAAGTGCAATTTGCTGACAAAATGATGCCCTGCAGTCCAGGAGCGGGCAAAAGGATATTATTGTAGAACTGCTTTTTAAATTCCACAGAGAAACAGCCATAGATAAAATAACCAGATGGACTATCATCTTTTGTTTAATCCATTGAATTAAATGCCTCAGAAGTCAAGGTACTTAAATAAAACCCCGTTAATCCATTCTTGCCATGAAGCGGGCCCGCTCACTGTTTGCATGTATTACCTAAAAAAAAAGATAACACAAGCGCAGATCTTCAGTGGATTGTAAAGCTGGTAGAGTAGAATCCCTATTTGCTGTATCTATGAACATTTTTTGTCGAAGGACTTTTATGAACCACTTGAAATTGTCCAGGACCTGAACCTTCCCAGTGGTCTGATAATTTACCAAAGTCCTGAATCCACCTTTGTCTGTATTCTGGGTTAAAACGTCTTGGCTTGGTTGTGTTGTAACCCAAGTTACTCCATTGTCTCTTGTCAAAGGCACTGTGTCCGCCTGGTTTAGGATTTACAGGGTTCCTACACTGTACTGAAAACTATGGAATTAGATTTGAGTAATTTCCAGGAGTGTGAAAAGAAAGTATGGGCAAACATTTCTGTTTCCTCTGTTCTGTTTTCTAGAATATAAACTTCAGAACTTCTGAATATTGATTGTACCTAAGAGCAGCATTACGTTTGAAGCAGGTAGCTAAGTGTTCACCACTGTGTGAGAGAGAGGAGGCCGGAGTGAGCTTAATGTAGTCGGAAGCAGTGCAAGAAAGATGGTGTATGACTGAACTCAGAGCTGCCTCTCACCTGTACACCGCTGCCTTTGCCCCAAGTGCTTCATAACAGCACCAAATCCAGACGTGTGCGACCAGATTGCTTTACGTGAAAATGCACCCATGTCTCTGAATTGTGTATGTACGTTGCATTACGAATATGAAGTCTGTCTGAGCAGTCATGAATTATGCAGTGATGAAGTTATCAGAAAGGTAAACGGACTATCTGTTCTGTGTCGGTAAATCGTACCTTAGTTGCTCCACCGTTGTCTCCATGGAAACAGAGAATAGGCAAGACTGCACAGATGCCACGAAACTTAAAATGTTTAACTTTTGTCAACTCATTTTTGCCTCTTATTTGTAAAGAGAGAAAAATGAGAGGAAGCACTTATTTATTTGATTTGGTAAGTGAAGTAATAGTAATGTAAGTAGCAGCGGTCTTCTATGGGCAGAGATGTTGTTTAGTGTTTTCTCATTGCAGCTTGTATGTGAGTTGGTTTTTATGAGTTACATTACAGAGAGCTGCAGTCTTTCATCAGTTGCTCGACATAAAAGAATACAAAGTCAGAAAGTACCATATACTTTAGTAGTTGGACTTTAAAATAGTTTGTTTACATAATACACAAGTCTGCGGTAAAATCTGGTAATTTGAGTCGGAGAAGTATGAATTCAGCCGTGTCCAGGACTCCTGGATTCAGCTCTTTAACAGGGAGCTTGTTTTGTTTTTTTCTTATCTCTGTGGTAAGAGTAATAGCAGGGATTAGGCTGTTTCTTTTACACTTGAATGAGCTCAAAAGATCAAATCCTGTGACTGAGATTGTCTCCGAAAGTGTAATATAAAGATTTAATTAGTGCTCGGCTTGGTAAAGCTTCTGCTCATTGGTTGACCTTTTATCCCACATTTCTTCTCCTGTGTGTGCAGAAAGAGATTCAGGCGATGAGCCAGTGCCACCATCCAAACATTGTGTCTTATTATACCTCCTTTGTGGTGAAGGATGAACTGTGGCTGGTGATGAAGCTGCTCAGCGGCGGTAAGTGCTGTGATACTGACGAAGCTGGTTTCATTTGCTCTACTCTTAACTTCACCTTGACTTTACTTTCTTTGTCATGCTGCTGCTTTCTTTTATCTCAAACAAGCTCAAGTTTGAACTCCGAATGACTGTTTGGATTAACTCAGCAGGGAGCCAATGATATTGAGCCATATATTGTGTCTTAGTCGCTGGTTGTGTTGCTCTTTTCTTCTGCTGTCACGACAACTTAACTTCAGATTTACCTTCTTTAATTTTCCTTAAATATCCGTCTCTGCGTTGGTACAGTTACACTTTCTTTGTTTACCTTTAATATATGAGTGAGTCTTGACATGTAAACACTCAGCGTTCTGGGTTGTATCTACTATGAAACCATAAACAGCTGAATAGTTATGTGGTGTTTGGTGATCCCATTTTCTCTAATAGATAGCAGGTCACATGTATTTCCTCTCACTGGGACATATTACTACAATATACAACCGGTACTAAAGTGGGTTTCTTTGCACACCTCGTGTTAAACTCCTGTTTTCGACATCTTTATGTTACATCATCACAAAATTAATTGTTAAACTTACATGAACGTATGCATTTTGTGGTTGCGTAAGCCAATTTGCAGTCTGTTTCCAATCCATTTATTTGAAATAAGAAAAATATAGCAACTACATGGATGTCTGCAGGTATTCGAAAACCTAAACTTGGGGGAAAAAACAACAGTAGCTCTGTAACCCCTACCAGCTACTCCCTGGTCAACATAAAGGCCTTTTTTTATTGTGCTAACTGCCAGATAAAGTCCATTTAATGTCACTTTAAATGCCTGCCGTGTTAAAGACCCCCATCATGCACTGTCAGCATGTCTTGTGACAAGCCTCTGCCTCTCTCCCAGGCTCGGTGTTGGACATCATCAAGCACATCATCTCTCGTGGCGAGCACAAGACCGGAGTGCTGGACGAGGCCAGCATCGCCAGCATCCTGAAAGAAGTGCTGGAGGGGCTGGAGTACCTTCACAAAAACGGGCAGATTCACCGGTGAGCTACAACGCTGTGCTTCATCACTCACCTCTCCACTCTGAAGTCTGATAGCTAGTGTGTCCCATCATGCTCTGCTGTCTCAGATCAGCCAGGCACTGAGCCTTTCATCTCTGCATATGGGAGTGCGGCTTGAACTAGACCTCCCTCATTCAATATTTAATACAGTGAAAATGCATAATTGAGGAGGTTTGTTTTACATAAAAGCTCCTCCCAGGAACACAGTGAACCACCACTGAGAAGAAAGGCCTCTCTGTACCGTCTGTGTTGTGTTTTATGAACACATTAACAGACTCGATTCACAAAAGAGGGTTTTATTTAGTTTGTTTTTAAGAAATTCTTTTGAAAGATATTTTTATTGTGATGTACCGCTGCCCCATCGTTGTTTATTTGATTGGATAAGTCTTATAAAACAGCTGATACGCTGACGTTTTGAGAGTGAATAGTAGATCTTTCAGCTTCAGTGTGGGTGGACAGTATTTCAGTAGACAGAGGGAGCAGCAGCTGATTGAGCTCAGACGCTGTGACTAACTCACTTACATCTAATCAGGAAAGATAAAGGTTGAAGTAAGGTTAATCCACTCCAGTTCTTTGTGCATAGTTTGGACTCGGTGTGCGGAACGCAAACAGAAACCAAGTGGGTCAAGATGAAATGTATCAAAAGCGCAGTTTCGACGTGTTTGTGTGGAATCATAAAGAGTGTTTATTTATTTCTGAAGCCGAGCCACACCTGTGCCGCGCAGTTACTGACTTGTGACGATTTAATTGTACGCTGTGATGTTAATCCTCCTCCTCGTCATTGACAGGGATCTAAAGGCTGGAAACATTCTTCTCGGGGATGATGGATCAGTGCAAATTGCTGGTACAGTGTTTCTGCTTTCTCTTCATTTGCTGTGGGGGTTTTATTTTTACACCTGCAAATGAGATGTTACACTTTAGGTTTTGCCAGTGCAGATTGGTTTTAAGATTCTCATGAATTACTACATCACACGACAAGAACTGGACTGACTTTATTCTTTCTCCTCAGACTTTGGTGTGAGTGCCTTTCTAGCAGCAGGAGGAGACATGACAAGGAACAAGGTCAGGAAGACGTTTGTGGGGACGCCGTGCTGGATGGCCCCAGAGGTCATGGAGCAGGTAGGAGCCTTGTTGCACAGAGGCCGTCTTTCTCTTCCTCTGTTTCTGCCTGTAATACTTCAGCTCGGATGTAAACAGGGGCTCACGTGGGTCTGTTTTTTTTAACCTGCAGGTTCGTGGATATGACTTCAAAGCTGACATCTGGAGTTTTGGGATAACAGCCATTGAACTGGCCACTGGGGCTGCACCTTATCACAAATACCCACCGATGAAGGTAACCGTGTGCGCTGACACTGTTCAGATCCCCTTTAGATGCATGCAAGTTATGTATTTCACCAAAGAAGAGCGACTTGAAACAGCTGTGAAGGTCTGTGTTGCAGCTTTTATGAAAAAGCTTAATTTTGAGGAAACCTTTGGAGTGGAAGTTGTTTACGTCAACTTAGACTGCTCAAAGTAGCTTTGGTGGCTGAACAGATAATTTTATATCTGTTTGCTTGCAGGTGCTGATGCTGACTTTGCAGAACGACCCCCCCTGTCTGGAGACAGGCATCACAGATAAGGAAATGGTGAAGAAGTACGGGAAGTCGTTCAGGAAGATGCTCTCCCTGTGTTTACAGAAAGATCCTGAAAAAAGGTCCGTCAGTCACCCGAACCCTGTTTCTGCCCAACGCCAGATTAAGTCTGTGCTTTTCTATCTGATTCCCCAGTTGCGTAAGAAATATAACGAAGCGCCTTGTGTCTCGTCCCTATTTAGGCCAACTGCTGCTGAATTGCTGAAACATAAATTCTTCACAAAAGCCAAGGTGAGCCGGGCATCGCGATTGTAAAAATAAACGGAAAATATTCCTGCATGTTTTTTGGGGAGTATTTATAGATGGTGAAAGAAATGTCTTTGTGTTACAGAACAACGAGTACTTACAGGAGAGGCTCCTACAGAAAGGTCCAACAATTACAGAGAGGTCTAAAAAGGTTTGGCATCCATTACCGACACACTGAATACTCACTAATTGAATTTAATGTCTATGTCGAGTGCTGCCAAGGTGTGCTGTCTTGTCCAGGGTGTGTCCCAGTTTCCTAACTTTCTGCCTAATGCGTGCTGGGAAGAGTCTGGCACGTATTAAAGAGCTGATAAATGAGTCAGTATTGAGCGTTGCTGTTCTTTGACGCCCTGCGTAGGTGCGTCGGGTGCCCGGCTCGAGCGGCCGTCTCCACAAAACGGAGGACGGCGGCTGGGAGTGGAGCGACGATGAGCTGGACGAGGAGAGCGAGGAGGGCAAAGCTGCAGTGGCGGCTCTCCGGGTGAGACCCTGCATGTCTTCAGACAGTCAGTCCAGTTGATTTTAAAAGGCGTCCCTGCTGTATTTGTCAGTGCAGGGTTTCCTTTGGACCAGCAGGTGGTGCTGCTACACAGTTAATCACATTTCTTTTTAGACAAGCAAGAGTGTGCTTCTGTTGAGGCCTCCTGCTGAACTTCAGTGTAGTTTAATCAAGAAAATCAGCTCAGAAACACCAGATTAAAAAAACTTTATTTTACCTAGAAACAGCATCTCTCTGATTTTTGGTTATGTGATTGTCAAGTTACTGCAGCTTTTAAACAATTTTGATAATGCAGGAATGCTTTGGACTCTGCTTGTTTTGTCTTACAAGTAGGAAATAGACTCAAACAGAGCAAATGTTAGTGTTAAAATATACAGGATCTATTATTACCTTTGAAGACAAGAACTACCTGCTTAGATCAACTGATTATTTTCCAATTCATGTGTGGGTGTGGGGCTTCATTGTCGTGTCCTTCTTAACCGTGATATCCATTAAGCCTTGTGTTTAACGTCACCTACTTTGTGTCAAATTTCTTCAATCCTACAATGCCTCATCAGCCCATACATTGGGGGGATAATAGGAGAATTGCATGTATTTAATCCTGACAATCTGTCATGTCCATTCTGCAGTCCCCCAGAGTGAAGGACGGGTCCCAGAATATGGAGGTGAGTCCATTCGTAGTGGACATGACCTGAAAATCTTGATTTTGTCGTAATGCCTCGACAGAGCAATCTGCATGACTGTCTCATGTGTGTCTTCTGTTCTTTTTGTACCTTTTTCTCGCCATTCATGTGAAGCCGATCGAGCTAATTTATCTGTAAACTCGTCTCTCTTAGCTTTTCCCACCAGCAGATGGCTCCACAGCGAGTCTGCAGCCTCCCGTTGCAGCACACGAGAAAGCCGCCAGCGTGGCTCCGACAAAAGAGGACGTTCCACCACCACAGGCTCCCGCTCAGACAGCGAGCCCTTCACACGCACCTGCTGTTCAGGTAATAACATCATACCAAATGTGCAGGGAGCTTTATTAGGAAAGTAGCCATGTGTTGTTTACAGGGTGGCTCTAGGGAAGGTCTGTAAAGACGTTTTACTGATCGTACCTCTGCTGTTGAGTTCAGTATTTTCTTTATAGACGCTTAATTAAACTCACTCAGATCCTGTTATCATAACAGCCATTTCACTTTTATAGCCCATATGGCACTTAAAACATCTTATATCTTATATGTTGCTATTTTTTTCACCGTAATTTTCACTGATTATTTTACAACATTTATGAAACTGGTCTGTTAGAAGAGTCAACCTTTTTTTTTCCAGTCTTATCTCGTATGTCTTGATGTGTAACTGGGCTTAATGTACGTTAAGTTTTTGTTCACCTTGATGTGGAAACTTTTAGGAAATTTATAGGACTTTGCAAAAACTCAAAATACTTGTAGTGATGAATTTTTTAAAATGTTTCACCCTCGGTGCTACATCTCATCTTTAGGGATTCCTTCTAAGCCTTAACAATCGCTTATTTTCTACTAGATTGGACTGTAATTTCTGCTTAACATTCATGAAACCCTGAGGGTAACTTTCTACTAAACATTAATCGAATAATAACTGTAAATAATTTTGTACCTGAAACAGAGAATTTCCCATTTTTAGATATTAATGTCTCAGCTAGCTTTTACTTTTTACAGTCAAGTTTTCATCTGAAGTGTGACGTATGATAAATAAACAAAAAGTGTTAAAAGATGGAGTAAAATAAACTTTAAATACAATTGCATATATCTGAATAAGATATACTTTCCCCTAAAAAAAAAAGGAATTTAGAATGGAAATACTTTAAGGAGTGGATCTTTCAGCTCTAAAGCTATTTACAAGAAAATCAGTGGCACTCAGTTTTTTATGCAGAACCAAATAACCAGTACATAAGATAGAACAACAGCAGTACTACACAGATGAAAAAGTGAAAGCTAGTGGCGCTATTAACTTAAAAAAAATGAAGCTGCTTCTTTTGTGTAGAAAATTATTGTTATTAATATGATAAAACATTCAGCAGTGCTTAATCCAGTGAGCAATAAGAGACGTATAGAGCTCTGAACGAATAAGAAATGATGAAATTAAGCTCCGTGGGCTTTCAAATTACTAAAAGTTTTACGATTTTAAACAGTCCCATGACCTAATAGATGTTTTCTCATGAAAATCCATAACATGAACTGGGAGGGTTTACTGGGTTGGCATGAAATGGTGCCCAGTAGAAAGATGTGTTTGCGTTTAGTGTTGCCAGAGCAATTTGTTTTTTTCCTTCTCGAGGTCTAGTAGTCATGTTCAATGTGGATTTTCATCTTAAAGCATTTTCAGAGACATGTTTAGTCACTGTCTGTATTTCCTTTACTGTTGTGCTTTCACAGGATCCTGCTGCCTCGGCCAGCGTTCCCATCAGCCTCGTCCTCAGATTGAGGAACCTCAAGAAGGAGCTCAATGACATCCGGTTTGAGTTCATGCCCGGCAGAGGTACGAATCCTCACAAAGCCTTTTCCTGTTCCTTGTGCTCATACACTCCAGGCTCATGTCTTCTCTTATCGGGTTTTTCTCTTCATCTGTGTCCTCAGACTCTGCTGACGGAGTTTCCCAGGAGTTGGTCTCAGCTGGCCTGGTGGATGGGAGGGACTTAGTCATTGGTAAGTAAGAGAGGTGGAGCTACATGGTGGGATATTATTATTATTATTATATTTATGGTATGAAAATGTTAGTTATGATACAGCTGCCCTGTCAAGGCATCAGCTGAAGAAGCCTGAGAGCCTTTGAGGTGACCGTTCATTTGTCCTTGTGACGACATGCGCTGTGTTTGTGATAAACTGATGAGATAAGCTGAAAGTGGAGGTCTTGTTCCCGGCTGATAATTTTCCTTTAAGAAACGTGACTTTGTGGGATGTGTGTGTCTGATGTCGGTTGGCTGTTGTGGGAAGCGAGTGCCTCTGTTATGTGAATGAAGCAACGTTAGCAGCATGTAACACACACAGGTATAATTAAGTCGTAGTCTGCCATAAAGTGTGTAGATAGGCCCAAGTTTTAGTCTAGTTTTTACGTAACATGTTTGGCGCCTGACAGAGAGGAAACAAAGGCCTGGTTTGAGCAATGTTACGATGGTCTGTCTCTGTCTTACCAAAGAGTTTGAACTGTCATAGTGTGTCATAGATCCAACCCAATAAAAAAAAAATCTCATTTTTGGGAATCCCTAAATTTACATTAATTCAATAGGGTTTACAATTATTACTTTTTGTTGTCAGAAATCTTAACCCCGAAAACATCCTAAAATCTTATTATTATCTTAGTTGCAAGTAAAATTTTAATTCTTTAAAGCAGCGGTCCCCAACCTGTTTTGCACCACGGACCGGTTTAAAGCAAGAACATCTTCTACGGACCGGTCATCGCGCACGTAACAAAAAATAATTTTTTCTAATAAAGTTTCATAAATTAATAAAATTACTTGTTAAATATGTGTTTGTTTTTTCTACCGTCTCAGTATCGAGTCTCTCCCACTTTCCAAAGAAGCTGAGATGTTTGTTTTTTTTATTTATTTCGGCAACGATGGGAAGACAAGCTGGTCATTTTTTTTAAAAAAAAAACACCCTGTAGACTCCATTGGAAATAAAAATAAACCAATAAAATGTTTTTTTTCTTTCTGTGTGGCCCGATACCAAATGACCCACGGCCCGGTACCGGTCCGCGGCCTGGTGGTTGGGGACCGCTGCTTTAAAGAATTGAATGGAAACAGGGAAAATAGGAAAAAGATGTGACATGGATGTGATTTTCTTGTAAATGTTTATAGCAGGGGCTGCATGGTGGCTCAGTGGTTAGCACTGTAGCCTCGCAGCAAGAAGATCCCCGGGTTCGACACCCGGGATCCTTCTGCGTGGAGTCTCCATGTTCTCCCCATGCAGCGTGGGTTCTCTGGCTTCCTCCCACACAGTCCAAAAAACATGTTGAGGTTACTTGGTGATTCTAAATTGTCCGTAGGTGTGAATGTGAGTGTGCTTGGTTGTCTGTCTCTGAGTGTAGCCCTGTGATAGACTGGTGACCTGTCCAGGTGTCCCCTGCCTTCACCCTGAGTCAGCTGGGATAGGCTCCAGTCCCCCATGACCCTAGTGAGGATTAAGCGGTGTATAGATAATGGATGGATGAATGTTTATAGTATGATCTGAAAGCAGCATTACGGTTTGATTTTAATGTGTGCATGAAAAAAGATCGGAGACCTTCTTCACTTACTTTTCCAGGCAGAAATTATAAAAACTTTAACAATGATTGTACATGTTGAAATAGTAACAGCACGTCGAGCGCTCTTGAGTTATTTCCAGTGTTCTCTCAGGTATTTCCATCTGTCCTTATTCGTTATTCCTCTAACATGGTCGTCTCGCTTCCTTTTCTTTTCTTCGTAGTTGCTGCCAATTTGCAAAAGATTGTTGATGACCCTCATAGTAACAAAAATGTGACCTTCAAACTGGTAAGCCCCCGGACCGACCCATTTATCAGACAATACGATGGATTTCTGATGCGGCACATATCAGTTTCTTATTACAGCTCTTCAAATGATCTGTACCCGTTTCTGCCAATTGTTTTCAGGCGTCTGGTGTGGAGGAGTCTGAAATTCCCGATGACATTAAACTCATTGGATTTGCGCAGCTCAGCATCAGTTAAGTCAAGCAGAGCCAGCGACAAAGGACAGAAGCAAATGGTATTGCACAGCTGCATTGTAGTCAATTCCAAGAAACCACTACTGCCAAAGAGAGGAGGAGGAGGAGGAGGAGGAGGAGGAGGAGGAGATGTGAGGCTGGCAGCAGTGAGACACTACTGCAGGATGCATGAGGACCACATAGAGGGGTTCAGTTCATCACAGGAATCACACTTGAAAAGTTTACAGTGCGCTTATACAGTAAATGGGAGAAGAGATGCAATCAACTATATCAAGTCCTAATTTCATTTTTCTTTTTTTTTTCTTCTTCCTCTTCATACACAAGCACAATCCAAACCATCTCCTGCCAGTACTGGAAATGATTGCCTTTTATTTCTTTCTTTCAAAAAAAAGAAAAAAGAAAAAAGAAAAGAATCAACTGTGCCACAAAACTCCTCGGAGTACCGTGCCACCTTTACATGGCACTTTATGCTACACTGAAATTGAAAAGTGTAAGTTCAGCCTTAGTTACTCTAGACTTTACCAGTGTGATTGGTGAAAAATTCAGTCAGTCTGTGATTATTAGCTGTATTCTATGTACGTCGATCTAAAGAAAATCCCTTAACCTCGATACAGATACCTTCTAAACACTCTGTAGCATAGTTTTTTTTCGTTTCGTAATTCTCAAATGAATTTAAAATATTTCAAAGGAATCCAGTCTCCTGTGTGTGGCGGCCCAAGGCAGTGCGATGAATTCTCTCCTCCACAGCGTCAGTGTGGCGGTTTTCAGATCAGCCGTTAAAAAAACAAAACATCAAACCTTCTGATTTCTTACACTTTGTGAGATGGTGTTTTCCTGACATATTAAAGACAGGATCATTGTCACAGATCGACACCTGCCTAATATTCTTGTACTATGCAATAGCTGTTTTCTTTTCACCGTGTGTCACCACCGGTCGCTAATATTCCTTCTCTTGTGTTGAATAAAACCACTTTCTGTGCTTGTACCTCAAAGAGGAGTTCATGAAGAGTCAACCAACAAAGACGGGCAGCTCTCAGAACCCCAATTTCATTTTCAACAAACTAACAAACCAACAAACAGACACGGGTCATGATTGATTGATTTTATTTTTCCCTTCCCTCTGAGAGAGCCTTTAAATGACTGATCTGACAGCTGGGAAGAATCCTGAATGCTGGTTATGAGTGTCGAGCCCCGGACGGCTCATGTTACAGGCTGACTGCTGATGAACTTCTGTGGAGGTACACGCTGAAAAACTGAAAACGCTCTTCCAACCGTGACATAAAGCTTAAAGGGGCAGTTCACCCAATTTATAGATCAAATTTGTTGTCAGCCAGGCAGGTAGTTTTGGACTTATTGCTAAGGTTTGGAGATGTTTTGCCGCCATACAGTGGAGATAAATGGGATTTGCTCATGAGGATAGCAGTTCTTTTGGTCAATAACTCAAATGAAACTTAGAAATAAGTTCACTAAAACTGTTGAAATTAGTGGTCAGAGTTTCGTTTTATTTGTGAAACCTCAGCATCTTAACTGGCACAAGAGTTTGTTGATCATAATTCTCTTGACGTTTTCTCCAGCAGGCGGACATTTTGGCTCAGTAAACACCAAATATTATCGAATGGGCTGTAATAAAATTTACTGGTTCAAAAACAACAAAATCAGAACTCTGATCCCTTGAATTTCTTTCCTGTAGCACCACCGTCTAACCAAAATATTTGTGTGTTACTAATTAGCAATGGCTAGCATGCTAACGTGGTTGACGTACCTGTTTAATACGACCACGTTGCTTAGTTCTTCCCACAGAGACGCTTGCTGGACTCTTCCTCTGAGCTCTACTTACAAATCCATTCGCCTCTATTGTACTAAAAGGCCGCAGCGGTCTTAAGACGGATCTCTTAAAGCTGAATAAAACCAAACCTATTAACCTGGCTGCATGACTCTAGAGGTACATTTTAACATATCGGGTGAAGCGACCCTTCAGACGTCTTCAGAAACCAATTCCTGCTTTAGTTGTTTTGACAGCACTGTAGTCTCTTTGCTTTATAAACACTCACCAACGAATCACTGTCGTCACTCCCAGTGTAGCTGTATGGTTGTTTTGTACCACGTGCAAAGGGCTGTGATGTAGCTCCTAGTTCAGGTACCGATGTAAATGGTGTATGTAAAGATGTTGTAAATGTACATATGATGGCAACTCCAAGCACTGTCACACAAACACCATGAGGTTTGTATGTAACGATGTAGATGCATTGACTGTTTAAGTGTACATGTCAGATAAAAAAGACAAAAGAGAAAAAAAAAAAGGAACATTTTACTTGTAAATATTGATTTAAGGCAAACAGATCGAGACTCATCTTGTTCAGTCCACAGCATTTGATTTGTTTTGTAGTGTTTTCCACTGTTGGCCTTTTGTCAGAGCGTCACTAATCATGCACAGATTATTAGTTCGATTGGCACCTTATTGATTCGTTAACATGCCTATTTTTTTTTTTTGGAATCACACGGGGCTTGTAATCACACACTCTGCTTTGATGTCATGATACGCAGCTTCTCTCACCGAAACCAGGCTAACGGACAAAACATTATCTTAACCAGACGGATGGCACAGGTTACACTTCCCTCTCTCCCCCCGTGTGTGTGTGTGTGTGTGTGTGTGTGTGCGTGCGTGTGCGTGCGTGTGATAAAACGATTGATCATCAAAGAGTTTGTACTGAAAGTCACCTCGACTTCTAAACTTATTTCTATTTTATTGTTTACTCATTAAAAGAAAACTCATTCTGCCTCATCGTGAGGCTGCTGAATGATTAGTATTAATCAATTGATTGGCAAGTACATTTTCCTCATAATTTCTTTTTTTTTTTTTTTTTTACAGATCAATACCTATATTTTTAAAAATAATCATCAGATGTGTACATCCACACATGCATAATTTGAAGCGGGATATTTGTGATAAGATGCAAAGGAGATTCCTCGACCAATATATACGTTGTTGGAAAAATTTCAACACATGCAAACTGATTTTTAGTAGTTGAATAAAGTCACATGATGAAATTCAACGAGTGGGGACAGTGTTTGTTTACTTCTCGTCTTCATTCGTTTAACATGTCAGCCATTACACACATGTACATCTGGCTTTGGACGTGAGATCGGCACATGTTCAGTCACTGATTCAGTTAAATATTGATTTATATCCAGACTTAAGACACACTTAAGACACCCGGGTACAGTGGTCTTCCTCTCATCATCTGCTGAGCCAAAATGGTGGAATTTGGAGAGATTCTGAAACTCATCGGAGACTTTGGTTTATTTCAGAAGCTGATCACTTTCGGGTTAGCTCTGCCACACTTCTTAATGCCAGTTTTGTTCTGTAGCGTCATTTTTATTGAGTCGGATCCAGAGCGACACTGTAACACAGATTGGATCCTCAGCGCTGGTCCCAACCTGACCACAGAGGAGCAGCTGAACCTGACTCTGCCCCGGGAGGAGGATGGCAGCTTCGGCAGGTGTCGGATGTTCGTCCCGGTCAACTGGGACATCGATGCCATCAGGGGATATGGACTCAATGAGACCACCAGGTGCCTGAATGGATGGGTGTATGGAAACATGCTGTATGAGAACACCATAGTCACTGATGTAAGCACACTGGGATTTCTTCTTTAATGTCATTACAGGGCCTAACAAGTTTATTAGCCACCTGTCATAAAAACAAGAAAACAGCTGCATTCTTGCTGCCATTGTTTTTGTGCTTTTCGACAATCTCTTTTGTTATTGAGTTCAAAATAGCTTCTAGCTGTTCCTCCAGATTTGCTTTAGATCAATCTTTGAATGTCTTACATCCCAAATTTGTTAATCCGGACTTTGACTTGGCCAGTCCATCAGCTCCAGTTCTCCAGATTCCTTCTTCTTGGTCAAATCGTCTTTGCACAGCTTTGAAGTCATTGTCTTGTTGGCATATCAACCCACCAGCAATCGGATTCAGACAGAAGGGATTCCATGATGCACTAGGATGTTGTGGTAGACGTTCTCGTTCGTGATACTGTTGATTTTCACTAATTAGCCCATGCTGTTTCCACAAATGGAACCCTAAACTATAATGGGATCTCCAGCGTGTTTCACTGTGGGTGTAATGCATCTGGCATCAAAACGTTCTCCAGCTTTTCTGCGGACATGTTGACCGAAGAGTTCAAACGTCCAGAGTGCCTTCTTCCAATTATCAACAGTCCAGTGTTTGTGTTTGCTGTCAAATCTGAGACGTTTCTGGATGTTTTCAGTCCTCAATAATGGCTTCTTAGCAGCTAATCTTCCTTTTACCTTCAAATTTACCGACATCTTTTATCCTTGGGTTCAATTTCAGCCCAGGTCTGTGAAGATTCTCAGTCATCCAGGTCATGGTTATTCTCATGGATTAATCGTAGCAACTGGACTTGCTGGAGTTCCTTCAAGACATTTCACCTCTCATCCAAGAGGCTTCATCAGGTGTTAACTCAGGTGTTAACTCAGGTGTTAATGGCTCCTTAAGGATATAAGTATCTGAAACTCTCAACTCGTCAGTCAGAACTGATGAAGCATGATGAAGCAATTTCCCTGAGGTTTCCAAAGATCTTCTACATACTGGTGTATGAACTATTTTAGAATTATAAAAATCGATACAGGTAATCACCAGTGCTGTTAATTTAGGGCAGCTGTGGCATAAACCTTGGATTGGGTGGTGGTGCAATGAATTTGTTAAGCGCTCCACTCCACTGATTTTGTCAATGTTTTGCAGTTTGATCTCGTCTGTGACAGATCGAACATGGCTGAAGTCGTGCAGACAGTCTTCATGGCAGGTTTGCTCGTCGGCTCACTCGTGTTTGGACCTGTGGCTGAATCGTAAGTGAAGATCGACTGAGAAATGCTGGGAAGCGTAAAGTTTCAAATCATTTTGACTGCTGCTCACTCTCTAAACTTCAGGTACGGCCGCAAAAGAACCACACAGTTACCCGCCGCCCTCCTGGCCGTGTTCGTCCTGGTTGTTGGTGTGTCTCCAAACCTCTACATTTACTTAGTGGCACAATTTGTAGTTGCAGCTGCACTTGGAGGATACAGGATGAACTCCACTGTGTTAGGTAGGACTTCTGTTTCACGTCCCTGTCCAGGTATGACCAGAGGTGTCTGTTTTGTTTCAACGTCCAGTGATTCTGGTGTTTGTGTTTGTAGCCACAGAGTGGATCGGCGTCTCTAAAAGGTCCATTGCCAGCTGTCTGAACCAGATGTTTGCAGGTCTGGGGCAGTGTCTCCTTGCTGGTCTGGTCTATGGTGTTCGCGACTGGAGAAAAGCTCAATATATCCTTGCAGGAGCTCAGGCCTTTGTGTTCTTGTATATGTGGTAAGTGCTGTAAGTTGTTGCACATAAACCCGCTGTGGGGGTGTGATAAACTATTAACAGCGCTGTGCTTGGACAATAACACATCTATTCCTGCCGGCCAAATCCAGTTTAGCTGTGTATATCTTGGCTTAATAGTTCTTGTCCTACCTTACATAATGAGAAACCAAACCAGTTGGCTGACAGAACATGAAGATTTAGTCAGTCTGTTGCTCAGCTTCTATTTTGGATAGTTTGCAGTTTGATCATTTGGATTGTGACCCTTTTAAAGGTGGATTCCTGAATCTGCAAGGTGGCTGCTGGGACAGGGAAGAACTGAAGAAGCTAAAACGTTGATATATAAAGTTGCAGCAATCAATAAAAAGGAAATCCCAGAGAATCTGATGAACGAGGTAAATCACTCAAATAAATAAATAATGAAAATAATAATAATTTAAAAATAAAACAAAAACAAATTTAAAAATGTACTAATATAACCCAAAATGTGATGTGGACGCCAGGTCTTAAGAGTTT